TTTTTAAGAAACAATCATATGGGAGCCAATTTGACAATTATATTTAATTTTTTTTGAAAAAATAAAAAAAATACATAAATAAAATTAAAAAAGAAACAATCCGGCAAAACAAGCACTCTCAACAGCATCTGTGTGATTTGGCTCCAGGGTCAGGGGCGAGGAGCCCAGGACCGGGGAAAAAGCTTATGCAAACACCTGTGTCACTTCTACAGTGAGCCTTTTATTCTTTCTACTCAAATCTCCTTTCTAATGGATACATTTCGTTAAGACAGCAGCCCCAGATTTTATTCTGGAATTTCTTACTCTGTCAAACACAAAAGGCATGGAATTGAGATCAACCAGGAAAAGGATGACCACACGTGCAAACGATCCAAGGCAACGGTGACAATACACAGAAAGGATCAGACTGCAAAAGATTACGTATCGAACTCAAGAGAACAGAAAGGAACTGGCAGAAACCAGGAGACTCCAGATGTCACACAATTCTTTACTAGAAAGGCAGAATTTCCCGGCTATAAGACCAAGGTTGAGAGTTTGGGTTTGAGAGGAATCCTTTTCAAAAGCTGAGGACCTGCAACTGTCTAGACAGGAAGTGATCAAAACACAAGCAGATATTCTGACCGAGTCACGCACAAGGGAGGGAGGCGTATTAGGGATGTTAAGGAAGTGGTGAGGGGAGAGCTAACTATGCAGGCAAAAGGGATTTTTAACGATACAGGAAATGGTTGAGAACCAAACACCGGGGAAGTGAGTGTAGACTGATTCTCATCAGCCAGATGATGAACACACACACACACACACACACACACGATTTAAATCTCTCTGCAGCTCTCTGAGACAGGTCTGATCCCCTGTAGATGTGAGGAAGGATCTGAGGGGTGAAACAATGCAAGATCACACTGGAGTAGGAAACCCAGGACTCACAGCTCTTTCCGCTAGACCACCGTGTCAACCAAGGGACCTCCAAAAAGGCCTCTCTGTGTGGAAGACTGGATAAAAACTGGGACATGCAGAAGGAACAGAACTCCTATCAGATCAAACCAAGCTATTCACATGCGTGCCTGGGGATACATAATACAGCCACGCTAAGACGGATGATAGGTTGGAACAGTTTAGGGTCCTGAATTCCTGAGACTGTAAAGGAAATAGCAGAGAAGAGAAAATGCAAGTAGTCTGATTTGAACTGTTGGGGCAAACATGAACATCTAACTAGGAAGCTTCTCACCTAAAAAGGGGGCAGAAAGCCTGATCCACTTGGCAGGAAACAGAACTCGCTTTATCACGGGCAAACAGAAGTTATGTTTGCCAAAAGAAAGATGGTTTCTAGAATCAAGATGGAGATGATTAAGGAAGAACTCTGGGACAGTCTTTTTTGTTTGTGTTAATGTTTTTATTTATGAGAGCGAGCAAGACAGAGTGTGAGCAGGGGAGGGGCAGAGAGGGAGACACAGGATCCGAAGCAGGCTCCAGGCTCCAAGCTGCCAGCACAGAGCCCGACACGGGGCTTGCACTCATGAACCACAAGATCGTGACCTGAGCCAGAGCCCGATGCTTAACCAACTGAGCCGCCCAGGCGTCCCTGGGACAGTCTTGAAAGGGAAAGCATTTCCCATGGAGAGCCAGTGCCCGCTGTGAGCTCACTACTGGGGAGATGCGTGCCTTTCTGTGCCCTTCATCCCAGGTGGACTCAGGAGCAGCCGAGGGCAGGAGGATGAAGGGCAAAGACAGGAGTGGAAGGAAGGTGGAGGAATGATTTTCTCCAGGGCCAAAGGGCAGATCGTGACTTCTAGCTAACACTAACCAGAGTTGGTGTTTTACATGTATTTGTGTAATTCTCTAACGCCTGTACCTCGTCAGATTGAGAACGCCTTTGGATGGGGACTTTGGAGGGGTGAAGGGGGCAGAGAACATGTTACTTTGCTCACTACTGTATCTCTAGTACCTAGTACATGGTAGAGTCTCCATATTTAATGGTTAATAAATAAACACAATTCTTACAAGAGCATACAAATTTTAGGGGTGTTCTCCTTTAAGAAGATTCAATCCTGTAGGACACCTGGGTGGCGTTGGTTGGTTGGTTGAGCGTCCGACTTTGGCTCAGGTCACGATCTCACGGTGTGTGGGTTCAGGCCCCGCATCAGGCTCTATGCTGACAGCTCAGAGCCTGGCACCTGCTTCTGATGCTGTGTCTCCCTCTCTCTCTGCCCCTCCCCTGCTCACGCTCTGTCTCTCTCTCAAAAATACACATTAAAAAAACATTTTTTTTAAAGATTCAATCAAGTGAAGATTCAATCATAGATAAGAAATTTTTAATTTTTAAAGTATTTTGTTGCAATGGAATCAATAAATTAGTATGTTACGATCACATAAAAAGTGAAAACAATGTTGGAGCGGTACAGCCACTGTGGGAAACAGTGTGGAGCTTCCTCAAAAAATTAAGACTAGAAATACCAGGCAATCCAGTAACTCCACTACTAGGTATTTACCCAAAGAAATGAAACCACTGATTCAAAAAGATATATGCACCTCTATGCTTACTGCAGCATTATTTGTAAGAGCCACGCTACGGAGCAGCCCAAGTGTCCGTGGACAGATGAACGGATAAAGAGATGCGGTATATACGCATGATGGAATGTTAATCACCAAAGAAAGGAGATCTTGCCGGGTGTGGCAACGCGAATAGACCTAGAAGGTATGATGCTAAGTGAAATGAGTCAGAGAAAGACAAACACCACATGATGTCGCTTTTATGGGGAATCTAAAAACACAACAAAACAAAGCAGAAACAGACCCATAAATACAGAGGACTGATGGCTGCCAGAGGGGAGGGTGCTGCGGGGCCGGGCAAAATGCGTGAAGGGAAGAGGGAGGTCAGAGAGCGCTCCCTGTTGGTGACAGATGACGGCTACGCTTGTAGCGAGCAGAGTGTTCGACTTTTCAAAACGCTACGTTGCACACCTGAAACTAATGTAACATCATGTGTCAACTGTGCCTCCTGAGAAGTAGGAACTCGGAGATGAGCGAGTAAAATCAAATAGACTGTCTAGAATCACCACTTTTGTTCACGTAAAGAAAAACTCCTGAGGCACCGGAAGCTGAACGCTCCTAGAAAGTGGGGGAAAACAAGCAAAGATGGGAAATAAAAAGAGAGACCTGGAGGGTCCATCCAGGGAGTCCAGCATCTGCGTAACTGGCATTTCAGAAGAGCAAAGCGGGGAAACAGAAGAGGGGAAACTGAGCAAGAAGCCGCTGCTGGTTCGGCTGATCCAGGAGGGAGGTACGCTGGCGTGGCAGGTGCTCCTAGGAGCTGGGGGTTCCGCGAGGAGGGGATGGGAACTGGGGTTTCAGCGAGGACGGGAAGGCTCCGAGTGCACGCTCTGTGACTGTGGGCCATGCAGCAGACCGGGGCCAGGGATCTCGGGATCTCAGAGTCAGAGAAGGCCCTTTCGGGGGGCGTGCGAGCAGACCCAAGGGAACAGAGGGAATGGGCTACATGAGGGTCTCGGAGACACTCTAGGCAGAGGGGAGGTGAAGGCCAAGGCCCGAGGCAGCCACGGCGAGAGTGCAGCAGCCGAGGGGGAGCAGCCAGGGCCGAGCCTGGAGCACCTGCGGGGGTTCAGCTGGGGGCTCGGGGACAGGGGACGATGGCCGAGTCTCCAAAAAGCTCACGCCGGCTGCTGCCGAGCAGCAGCCTGTGCAGGACAGTGAGAAGCAGGGGGCACGTTCGGAGGAACAACGACAGATAGGACGGATAGGCCCCGAGCGGGGGGCCAGGGAGCTGGAGGGCAACATGCGGTCGGGGCAGCGCTGTCTGCTGAGGACCACGGACACGGGCCCTGGGAGACGACAGGGGAGGGGGTGAGGGCGGGCACTGAGGTAGGACAAACGAGAAGCTGATGAGGGGCCCTCAGATTCGGGACCATCAGGCTTAGAAGGGTTCAGAAACCTCCACGGAGAGCCCAGGGCAAGCAAGTGTGGCGTTGACGGGAACAGCACACAGACGGAACCCAGGGTGCCCTCGGCGACCCCGGGACTGAGCCGGGGGCCGCCAGTGCTCCGGGTGAGGAGGACCCGCACGAGGACTGGCAGGGAGCCAGGGGGCAAACCAGGAGAGGGGGGCGTCCGGAAACCAAGTGGAAAAAGTGCTTCGAGAATAGGGAGCGACCAGAGGCGTCAGGTTTCGCTGACAGGCCAGGGGACGTAGAGGCCCAGGAGTCATCACAGGGTCTGGGGGAGATGGAAGCCGAGGAGGGCATCCGAGGAAGCGGGGCAGGGGCGGTGTCGAGAGGAAGCAAGAGGCATGGGAGCAGGACGAGGGATGCTCACAAGTCCCCCGAGGGCTCCTGCTCGAGAACAGACAGGTCAATGACTGAGGCAGAAGCCCCTTCGAACAAATTGGTGTTTTTCCTGGAATTTCTCTTTTCTTTGCTTTATCTGCCTCGAGTGCCTCCTTAACATGTAGACAGGAAGGGGATCGCGTCCGGGGAAGGTTCAAGAAGGGTGCCGTCCTAGCGCACACACGCGGAGACTGACCCCACAGAAAGGAACACGGTGAGGAAGCGAGGCGGATGCGAAATAAGAGTAGGACACGCACTGTGCGGGGGGCAGGGTGGCTCTCCTACAGGGGGCCGTGCAGGGAACACGGGGCCACGTGGGTAGAGGTGCCGGCAGACGGATACTCGGTGGCGGTAGAGAGACTCCACTGGGGCCGTGGGTCGTCAGCGGCAGAGGAGGCGCAGTCGGCAGCCGAGGGTGAAGGTGTCGGGGCCGAGGCAGAGGCCCAGGGGGCGCACAGGTGGGGACGCAAGGGGCACAGCATGGCTGCGCCGGCCGCTGGGACCTCCCGGGGCTCGTGGGCGCCAGCGTGGGAGAGGCCACAGCGCGGAGCGCACCGCCCCCCGGCCACCCTCCGGGCCGAGGACGGGACTGTTCAGAGGCGGGGTTTTGCCAGGCAGGGGCAGCAGGCCGAAAGGGCGGCGAGGGGGTAATCGTGACGGCGGACGACGCGGAAGCAGGGAGCAGGGATGGGAAGGGGGGGCAAAGAACAGAAACAAGGTAGCAGACTCCGAGGGTGACGGGTGGTCCTGGATGAGGCCAAACCACTTCGGGTGAAGTTAGGACTAAAATCAGATTGGCTCCAGACCACTGCTCGGTGACGCTGGGTGCCCGAAGATAGGACAGCGATGCCTTCAAAGTGCCGAATGAAAATTACTTTCTTCCTAGAAATCTATAAAAAGGGCAAACTGCAAATGAACGTTTTCCGTAAGACCTTGGAAAATTCACCTCCCACACGTCCTTTCTAAGAAAGCTGCTTGAGGGTACAGTCCAGTAACACAAGGGAGTAAACCAAGGAAGAGGGAACTACAGGATCCACAAAACCATGCTCTAACCCGGGAAAG